CCTTAGCAGTGCAAAACTAGAAAACTTCTGCTTTCTTCTGAAGCCAGATGGAATATTTGTTGTTGGTAGTCTCCCGGCGCAATAACAAAAGGCCTTTGGGCTTGGTTTAGTCTCTGAAGCTGTGTTTTTTGTGGCTGAGGTGAAGAGATACCTCGCACTTCTCCCAACGCTGTGGGAATCTGTTTGATTGTTTTTCTGTTGCTTTTGGTTCTGTGGTGCATTTGGTTGGAGAATAAGCTCGGTTACAGCCGGCAGCTTCCTGGTGGCTCCCGGTTGTGGCTCTTCCAGACGGAGGCGTCTTTGCTGAAGCCTCGTGTGATGTTCTCCCTGTTGCTTCTGAGCCTTTCCCTCTTGTACATTGGCACAGAGGCTGCTGTTTCCTCTCATTTCCCCTGTCCTTCTTCATCTTAACTGTAAACAAGGGAAATTTTGCCTTGAACAGAGCAGCTTGCTAAGTACAGCTCCTTTACCTCTCGGTAAGCTTTGAATTTGGCAATAAAATTGTCATTTTTTTTTTCCCCTTTTTAATGTAGCTTTCTCACATTGGGTACTGTCTCTTGGAGTAAGAGCCTCTGTGGCAGAAAATGTCACAACTATGTGGGCTTCTGGACCAACTGGGGAGGAGTTAAGTTTTCTTGACAGCAGTTGACTCCTCAGCAAACCTTCCTTGCCCTTGGCAAGGTGATGGGTAAGCGCTCTGTCCTCAGCACTGATTACGGAGGGTCGATGCTTGCCCGAGGAAGACCCTTCTGGTTTGATTGCCATTAGACTGATGAGATCTTTGGAGGAATTTTGTGCATTGGTTTATTTTTTTATTTCCATTCCCTCTACTGCTCACTTCTCTGGGTGTTTCTCTTAACTGCTCGTGGGTCCCAAATGTCCCTGGAGGTGGCATCACCGGAGGTTCCCTGTCCCTACAGCCACAGGGAGGTCTCTGCTGTTCCTTCAGGAGCAGCTCTAGATGTTCCCTTCTGTTGGTGTTATCGGTGATGCCCGCACGCAGCCTCTCGGGTTTTCACCCGGTGAGTTGTAGAGCATTGTGGTGTTAGGGGGATGGTGGGTTTCATTCTGTGCTACGTCAGAACTCAGATGTATGAAGAGCTGGTCTGTAACATTCAGTCTCCTCTGGTGTTGAGCCTCGGACTGTTCCTTTACCCGTTCATGGCAGGGTGTGGATCTAGAAGAAGAATGGGGGAGGTGGGAAGCTTTTCCTGAAGGCTCAGTCCTAGGTTGGAGGGGTGCTCTGCCTCCCCAGGCGTCAGGGGGTGGTGGCCTGTGCACATCTCCTGAGCTTCGCTTGGGAGGACAATGGCTTTGCCATCAGTAATTACTGTTCTTTCCCCACCTAGTGTTAGATGAACTGGAAGCTGGTTTTAAATATGTTACTGTCATTCAGACCTGGATTTTCCAGCAAAGCGCTGGCGTTTTCGTGTTGCCCCACACAATCCATAACACGCGTCTTTTGTTTTTTTTCAGTCACTGAAACACCTTTTTTTCTCCCCAGCGAAGGAACATGTGACACAGAGAAACGCCTTTTAAATTGCCCTTGCAAATTGGGAGCCTGACCCTAAAATTAGAGCAGATTTAGTGCAGAGGAGGCAAATCAAAGTTTGTGCATTTTTGCTTCTGACGTTCCCCGGTTCCAATGAAATACCCGTTTCTGTGGAACAGGCACGTTCAGTGATAAAGATCAGTTTTCCCTGAGAACAGGGTGCATTTCCCTGCCCCCTGCGGCACCACGGAGCTTTCATTTCTCCCGTGCTGAGGGCTGGGGGGGCTGGGGGCTGCCTGGGGGGCTGCGAGACACAGAGAGAGAGACTCTGCTTTTTACCTTCTCCTGGAAAACACTTTTAGCCGGCGCTGCGTTTGCAGGCTTCTCCTGTGTAGTTGGTTTGTGACTGGACTTAACTGTGGCAGTGTATAAAAGATTTTGATATTCTGTGAAATACCATGTAGAATTTAAATTTGATACTATAATAATTCAGTCCCTGTGACACTGGTTTTGGTTCGGTTTTTTTTTTTTGTTTTAACTTCTTTCTTTGGGGTTGGCACTAATAATTTTTTTTTTTCTCTCAAGATGCTGTGAGAAACATTTCATCCAAATGCCAAATAAATTGTGTTCTGTAAGAGAAACGGCCTGTTCCCCTGTCTCCTGATTCCTGCAGCCCCTTGGTTCCTCGACGTTGCGAGGGAAGGTGTTGTTAAATCCCACTGCGGGGCTGGGATCGCACAGAGATCAATAGGTGCCTTTAACTCCACGCAGGGAGGCTGCCGAGTCTCCAAATTCCTGTGAAATTTACCTTTGTTAATGTAATTTTGTATAAAATCTTGGCTGTGTACGCAGGGAGGTGAAGTACAGCCCTCTCCAAACCTGTGGAGATGCGGAGCAGGTGGGTTGTGCTGGATGGGGGGGTCTGGACCCCCAGGTCCCGGTGTGGAGCTCCAAGGAATGACCCGAGTGGGTTGAAGATGTGACATGGAGTTGGGGGGGGACAGTTGTAGCACCAAGCCATGCTGCCTGTGTGCCCCCCGGCACTGGGGAGACTGGTGTTAAGACCCGAGGAGAGAGGTCCCTCTGTCCTCACCTCTGCAGGGATTCCAAAATTCCAGCTCAAAACTTCCCATCAACTTCCCAAGTTTGGGTACCACACCCCTCCCTCCCTGTGTTCTGCACCCCCTGCGTGGGACGGGGGCCACAGGCAGGGTCCTGGGGGGACCCTGGGTGGGCTGGTGGGAGAAACCTTGGCCCAGAGTCATGTTTTGGGATGAGTAGGGGGTTCCCTGGTGCCAGGAGCCCTCTGTCCGGCAGGGAGATGGATGGTGGGTTCCTCCCAAGGAGCAGCTGATGGGACATGAGGAAATGGCCGGGAGTTGCCCCAGGGAAGGTTTGGGATGGATATTGGGGAAAATTCCTTCACTGAAAGGGTTGTCCAGCCTTGGGAGAGGCTGCCCAGGGAATGGTGGTGTCACCACCCTTGGAGGGATCTAAGAGCTGGGCAGATGTGGTGCTGAGGGACGTGGGTCAGGGGTGGGTTTGTCAGTGTGAGGTTGATGGTTGGACTCTGTGATCCTAAAGGTCCCTTCCAGCCCATTGTCGGGTTCTCCGTACAGCAGATGGTGTTTCTGCCTGAACCAGCCCCCACTGCCCCACAGCTCCGGCCATTGCCATTCCCTTGGGAGCTGGGACCAGCCGGGATGGGCAGTGGGAGAGGGGGCTCTGCTGCCCCCAGCCCCCTCGGCCGGCAGCGGCCCAGGAGGTGATGAAAGAGCCCGAAACGCTGGGTTATTTAATAAAGCTGCTTGACAGCAGGGAATATTCCCCTTAAAAGGCTTTGCTGGAAAAATTAGGCTCTTTAAAGAGTCGTGCTGGGTTAGAAAAGCAGGGTTGTTACCGGGGATGGTGGGACAGGGGATGGAGTGACACCCAGTGCGAGGCAAACTGTTGGATCTCTTCTGTTTGGCATCGCTGCTCGGGTGGTGGATGGGTCCTTTGGGCGTGGGGAAAGCTGTCCCTGTCCCTGCCAGGCACCCTGGGTAAAGAGCATCCCCTTTTTCCCCCAGTCCAGACCTGGTGACGCCTTCACCTGCTCTGGGCTGGGAGCAGTCACTGCTTGGGGCTTTTTTGGTGTTATTTTTTCTTCTTTTTTCCCCCGAGCTGCTGGGCTCGAAATGTGGGCTGAGTCCCTGCAGCCTCGCTGGGCTGTCCCCGTGCCCCGCTGGTGGCCATGGGATGTGTTCATCGCTGGACGCCGTCCAGTGAGCAGTGTCATCCTCCCCCTGGGGGCCGGGGGGGCTCTGCTGTCCCTTCCCTGTGCCCCCAGAGGGATGCTGCTGTCACAGTCGCCTCCGGCGCTGCTGGACCCCAACCATCACAGCCCCCAGGGCTTCACCTCGGGGCTGGGAGATGCTGGTTCAGCTCAGGGTGATGGGACACAGCCCTTCCTTCACGGTCTTGGGGGGTGACAAGCCTGATGTTGTGAGGGGCTGACGGTGGCAGGGACCCCGGGGGGCTTCTGTGACACTGCAGGAGCCTGTGTGGGTACCACCTGCCCTTCCCTCCTGCCCCCTTGTCCCCTGGGGACAGAGGGTTGCTGCCACCACAGCTGCCTCTGGTGCTGCTGGACCCCAACCATCACAGCTCCCAGGGCTTCACCTCGGGGCCGGGAGATGCTGGTTCAGCTCAGGGTGATCGGACAGCCCTTCCTTCACCGTTCTGGGGGGTGACAAGCCTGATGTTGTGAGGGGCTGATGGTGGCAGGGAGCCTGGGGGGCTTCTGTGACACTGCAGGAGCCTGTGTGGGTACCACCTGCCCTTCCCTCCTGCCCCCTTGTCCCCTGGGGACAGGGCCGATGCCACGGCTGCAGGGAGCAGCCAGGAGTGCCCTGGGCACAGCCACTGGTTTTGGGGCTCCCAAACCACTCTCAGGGCTCCCCACTGATCCCGCTCACAGCCGTGTGTCCCCCAGCCCCCCCCTGTGTGGGGGGTGGCTGTCAGTGTTGCTGGGCGGCCTCCTCTTACCAGTTTAAAATGCATCTTCCCAGGTGCGTGGGGGGTGGCTGTCAGTATTGCTGGGCAGCCTTCTCTTACCAGTTTAAAATGCATCTTCCCAGGAGGGTAATTAGCAGCTGTGCCCAGCATGGGATTCCTGGGGGAACACCAGGGGGGCTGGGGACAGGGATGGGACACATGCAGGGGCCGTGTGCTGGCAGTGACCCCGGGGGGTGCCAGGCTGTGGTGGGATTCCTGGGGGAACCCCGGGGGGGCTGGGGACATGGATGGGACACATGCCAGGCCGTGGGGGGGGTGGCTGGATGAGGGGGAGATGTCTCTGCCCCCGGTGACAGCGGGAGCGGGGGGTGACCGGGGGGGCTGTGTGGCGGCGTGGGGCCAGCACACATCTGGCCACAGGGCATCCTTTGTGCTGGTCCCAGCCACGCTCCCTGCCCGGCTCCCCCCGCTCCCCCCGGCATCACGGCGGCTTGTTATGGGGATCAGTGATTCCAAGGGAAAGCCCGGAGCGGCCAGAGTGTTTATTGCCCTTGAGCATCACCTCCCTCCCCACCGCGCTTGTGTCACTGGTGCCCACAGCCCCTTCCCTGGGCCGTGTGACCCGTGCTCTGGCGCTTCAGCTCCTTGTCTTGTCACTGTCCCCATCAGCCCAGGTCCCTGGGGTCGGGGTCCCCGGTGCCAGCGCAGGATTTACCTCCGGGAGCCGTTTTGGGCAGCCCTGCTGCGTGCCGGCGCTGAGGGTGCACGTGGCGGGGGTTCCCAGCAGGGTGGCACCGTGCCCACGGCCGATCGATGGCTGCAGATTAAGCAACTATTTTTATTTTCCAGCGGTACTTTTTTCCCCTTGTCATGGCTCTCGCCCTTGGTGCTGCGAGCAGGCGAGCGGCGGGGACCTCGCCCGGCTCTGTGGCGGCAGGATGATGGACGTGGCTTCTCCCAGAGCTGCAGGATGGGCTGTGAGCTCCACACCACCGAGGGACCGGCAGGAACCCAACGGCTCTTCCCAGGTTTGGTCTGGTTCCTATAGAAACTGGAGGTTGCTGTGCCTGGTGCCGGCAGCCCCCGGGGGAGCAGGGCAGCTGGGGATGGGTGGGAGTGGGGTACGGTGATGATCCTCGGTGCTGCCTCTGCCTTTCCACGTGCCCTGGTGTCCCCTTTTCATCCTTGCCTTGCCCCTGCCCCTTGGTGGGGCCGTTCTGAGCCCTGTTTGGGTTCCACATCCCTCTCCAGCTCTGTGGGTCTCTCCAGACCCCAGGCTGGATGTGCCAGTCCTTGTCCCAGCAGGGCCCTTAGGGGGACAAGGGACATATTCCCACCATGTCCCCGGTTGTGTCCTGCAGCGCGGTGCTGCTGGTGTTCCTGGCCACGCATTCCCTGTGGTGAGACCACTGCTCCTGCCCTCCTGGCCAAAAATCACCACCAGAGAAGGCTGGAAACCTTAAAAGGATGTCCTAGGGGGCACCTCTGCCCTCCTTGATGCCCTGGGGAAAAGAGCCTGGTAGTGGTGGGTCCCATTGGCTCCTGAGGGTCTGGGCTTCTCCCCACCACCTGACCCCCAGGCTGTCCCACCGCGGGCGGGTGGCTGAGGTGCTTGTGCCACTTGGTGGGCTCACACCTCCCCGAGCTGCTCCTCTCCTTCCCAGCAGAGATCGGTGCCAGGCTGTGGACCTGGTGAGACCCTCTGCCTCTCCTGCCCGCCCGGCAGGATGATGGCAGCCCCTCTGCAAACTACCTCATCCCCGGAGCAGGGGCCAAGCCTCGGCCGTGGCGCGGGTCCAGAGCCGCTCAGGGGAGCCCTGTGCCGGTGCCCAAACTGGGGGCTGGGTGCTGCCCAGGCACCCCCTCCCCCTCCACCAGCTCTGCCCAAGGAGGGGACAGAGGTGTCCCAAAGAGCCCCTCCTGCACCGAGGACGATCCTGGTGCCCAAACACGGGGCTGGGTGCTGCCCAGGTACCCCCCCTGCCCAGCACCGTCTCTGCCCAAGGAGGGGACAAAGGTGTCCCAAAGAGCCCCTCCTGCACCGAGGACGATCCCCAGCAGGTGCCTTGTCCCCTGGCAGCACCTGGCAGCCCAGCACCTCGCCTGAGCCAGAGCCCGGCCCCAGGACGATCCCCAGCGGGTGCCTTGTCCCCTGGCAGCACCTGGCAGCCCAGCACCTCGCCTGAGCCAGAGCCCGGCCCCGGCCAAGCTCCTTCCCGCTGCCCTGGCGCTGCCCCCACCTTTGCTCATCCTGGCATCATCCGGCATCGCTGCCGGCCAGGGCCCAGCACCGGGAGAGAGAGGAGCTGCCGCCCAAGCCCCGTGGCCTCCTTTCCTCCTGCTGCCTGGGGAGGGCAGGGATATTTTGGGAGAATGAGCCAACACCGCTCTCCCGTGTTCTCACTCCCCCCTTCCTACCTGCCCCCCGTGGGAGCAGAGCTCTGCTGGTGAGGTGCTGGCTCCTGGGGGACCTGCCTGGATGGGTGCCATGGGGACAGCGTGTTGAGGAGCTGAACAGCCCTGTCCCCCAACACACACCATGCCCGTGGTGGGCTCCTGCCATGCCCAGGTGGGTACCGAGGCTCGTCCCCGGTGCTGCCCACCCCCTGCCCTCCTGGTGCTGTGAGAGCCTGAGCCACTACGGTGTGATGTGGCTTCGTGCCGGCTGGAGGGGACAAACCCTGTCCCCCCACCGCTCCTTGGTGACCCCCGGGGCTGAGGGTCCCCCCATAGCTCAGCTGCAGAGGCCACCTGAGCCGGGGGGGCTGCAGTTACCGTGGCCAAGGTGCTGTGGACACCCACTGGCCTTTGCCTGGGGAGGGGCTGGTGACCCCGATGTGTGGGGAAGAGCTGGATTCAGCCCCTGGGTCCCCCTGGCACCGCCTGCCCCACATCAGGTCCCCGGTGGGAGCTGCCACTCTCTCAGTGTAGGTGATGCAGGACCCACTGCCAGCTGGGGGGTTGCCAAAGCTGGGGGGGCAAAGGCTGTCCCACGGCGTGTACCTGTAAAGAGTGGGGCAGGAATGGGGCAGAGCTGGTGCCCCCAGCCCCCCCTGGCTTCCCACAGCCCCCTTTCTCCCTGATGCCCATCTGTGGCCCCACAGCAGCACGTGGGGCTGGGATGGGGCACAGCGGGGATGCTGCCAAACCCCTGCATGGGGAATGGAGAGCAGGGGGGGGTACCCAGGGACCCCCCCCCTCGCCCCTCGGGGGGCAGTGGGCCGGGCAGCATCCTGCACCCCCGGGCTTTGCCAGCCCCCTGCTCCCCCCTGCCTTCTCCCCGCCGCCTGCCCTTGGGCTGGCATCCCGGGCAGGGGCCTGGCACGGCGCGGAGGGGCTGGCTGGGGGCCGGGCCGCTTCCCCGCTCCCTCCTAGCAGCCGAGGAGTTAAAAACTCAGCCCTTGTGATGAATATTTAACAGCAGTGCACAGGCTGGAGCGGAGGATTTCTCCGGGCTGCCTGGGCGCTGGCAGCGCTGCCTCCCCCTGCCCGGGCGCACTGCGGAGGAGGAGGAGGACGGGGCCACCTGCCCGCTGCCACCCCTCCCTGCCGCCGGCATGGGGACGCAGGGGCTGGGGATAACTTTTCTGACTTTGCCTCTGGTCGTGCGAGCCGCCGCGGGAGGTGAGATGCTCTGCCTGCCTGCCCTCGTCCCGGCGGCCGGAGGGGATGGGGGGTCCCTGTGGTGGGAGAGGACGGGGGGTCAGGGGGTGCTGGGTTGGGGTGCACCCTTGCCAGCTCCCGTTATTCCCTTTCCCATCCCCGTTATTCCCTTTCCCATCCCCGTTATTCCCTTTCCCATGTGCTGGAGGGTGCTGGGGGACGGGGGGCAGCGGTGCCAGCGGGGCTGGAGGCAGGGGCTGGGGTACCCGGTCTGGCCCAGGAGGCATCTCCTGCCCTCCCTCCATCCTCCTCCCCCCTGCGGGATGTCCCCGAAGTGCCACTGGGCTACGGGAGGTCTCAGCCCGCTCGGGGCTGTCTGTCCTGGTGGGAGGCATCCGGGACGGAGTCCCTTTGGGGTGGTGGGTGGTTCAAGCTCTCAGGGATTGGGCCCCAGCCCATCTGCCCCATAGACCTGCACCACTAGGGAACACCAACAAGGGGGAAACCTTCGTGGAAATGGGCACTGCCGTTACGGGGCCCAGGGGCTGGAGTCCTCACCTGCTTTCGGGCCAGCGAGTGCTCCCCTGGCTCCTGCCAGGACATGCTGGAGGTCTGGCGAGGGCTGGTGGGTGCGGATCCATCCAAGGGTCTCCAGCAGCTCAGCTGCCCCCAGGACAGGGAGGAACGTCCGATGCCTCTGCCCTGGGAACCCTCTGAGTCCTGCTCCATCCTGCTCCCGGCTCTTCTGTGGAGCTGGTGCCTCCCGCACTGCCATCGTAGTTAGGATTTGGATGTGGCGCTGCAGGCTGGGGCCATGGGCAGCACAGGTGGTGGCGGGCAGGGCTGGCCATGTCCTGCTGCTCAGAGCGGCCGTGGCTGGCACAAGAGCATGGCTCGGGTCGCCCACAGCCACCGGCACGGCCCCTTGGCCACCAGTGAGGACCGCTTGAGTAGGCAGCACCAGGTGGCTCTGTGCCTCCTGCCAGGAGCGGGATGGGGAGCTGAGGAGAGAAGGTGGTCCCCAGCTCCCATTGCAGAGCTGGGTGGATGTGGAGATGGCAGGAGCTGGGCACTGGCTTCCTCGGCATCCCCTCGGCATCCCCTCGGCATCCCCTCGGCATCCCTGCATCCGCAGCAGCGGTACCCGGCGCTGAGCGCGCAGCCCCCGCAGCCTCCCTGGGCGCCGGTGGGAGTTCGGCAGCTCAGGCTGAGGTGGCCCTGAGTGACGGGACGAGCCGTCGTCCCCGCAGCGTGGGCACAGGCCTGCCCACCGCCCACCCCCTGCCTGCTGCGGCCCCCGGCAACCGCCTCCTGCCGCCAGCCCACCCGCGGGGACCACCGGGGGAGGAATATGGCAGCCCCCCCCCGCGGCTCCCTGCTCACCCAGGGCTGCTGGGGGGCGAGAGAGGCGTCTGCTGTGGGGCGAGGGGCTCCAAGGGATAGGTAAGGGGGGGGACAGCCCCACGGCAGCCGGGGGAGAGCCCCCCAAGCAGCGAGGTTTGGCTGCTGCGGCGCAGAGCGATGCCGAGGGAGGTTTCCCTGTGGAGCAGCCGGGGGAGGCAGGGAGGGTGTGAACGCGTGAAAACACCAGTGCCCAGAATAACCGGGATGAAGACGAGCGCCGGCGGGACCCCCGGCTGCAACGGGGGGTGCCCTCGCTGTTGGGGGGCCGGGCACGGCTGCCGAGGGTGGGTCTGGGGAGCAGGTTGGTGCCTCCATCCCCTGCCCTGAGCTCTGCTCTCTCCCGCAGGACAGTGGTGTTACGACTCGCAGGACCCCAAATGCGGTGAGTGAGTGGGGCCACGTGCGGGATGGGGGGTGTGGGGGCCGTGGGGGGCTCGGACCCCCACATCTCCCCAGCCGAGGGCACCCTGGGCAGTGTCAGCAGAGGGGAGCAGGGATGGAGAAGGGTCATTTCACCCACGTCACACCGAGGTGGGAATGGCTGGAGGAGCTTTGCTTTCAGTGTGATGGAGCAGAGACTGGAGATGAGCACCTGGAGCCCCTCGGAGCAGCTCGGCCGCAGCCCCCCAGCCAGGTCCGGGGGCACCAGGGGCAGCTCCACCCTCCCCCATTTCACCCAAAGCAAATTAAAGCCTGGATATGCCCTTAGCAACCTCAGCGAGACACCGGTGTCGGGGTAGGGGGGCTGCGGGGGGGCCACGGGGCGCAGGGGCTGGAGGAGGGATGGCTCCGTTTGGGCAAGTCCTGCCCGCCCTGCGCCGGGGAAGGGGAGCGTGGCCGGGGGCACTTTGTCTCAAAGCATGTAAATAGCTTGTAAAAGGTTAATTAAGGATCAACGGGCATTTAATCAGCCGTTACGGCCCAACTGTTTTATAGCTCTTGGGTGCACGTGCCCCGTGCCCGGCCGCCGTGGCACATTGGCCGTGAGTCGCTGGGCTCTGCCCGACCAGCATCTCGGTGCCAGTGGCAACTTAACCCCATGGGGCTGGCAGTGAGGGCAGATTTCGGGAGGGCCGTGGGGCCAGCGGGAAGCAGCTCGGGCAGTTTGGTAACGGTCCCTTAATGAAGGCACTGGATAATTTGTGGGGCCACCCGGCAGCACCCTGCTGGGGAACCAGAGGGGCAGCGGCACGGCCGGGCTGTGGCTCCCGGGGGTTTCCAGGCAAAAAGCTGCCTGGAATAATGAGAGGAGAAGGGAAGGAGGCAGGGCTGAGCCCAGGGGGGCAGGAGGTGGGGGGTGAGCGTGTGTCTGTGGTTTTCTTTGCCCGAGAGGAAGGTGTGTAAAGGAAAGAGCTGAGCCGTGGGGCGCTGCTGGGGGCTCAGTGGCTGCCCTCCGTGCCCCCGCTCCTCCCCTGCAGGTCCCAGCCACTGGAAGGAGCTGAAAGCCACGTGTGGTGGTGACAAACAGTCCCCGGTGAACATCGACAGGCGCCGGCTGCAGCGGGACGCCGGCCTCGGGGACATCCTCTTTGAGGGCTACGACCAGGCTCCCCCGGGCAAGTGGAGGCTGGCCAACGACGGGCACACGGGTGCGTCCTGGGGCCGGGCAGCCCCCCTGCCCTGACTCCCCGGGCACTCTCCTGCCCAGGACTCGGCTCCCAGGTGCTCTCTGCCCTCGAGCTGTGGGGTCCTGGGGCAGCTCCTGCGCCGAGGGTTTGTGTTAGTGCTGGGGTGAAGCTGGGGGGATGAGCCCAGGTGTGCCAGGGCTGTCCCCTGTCGTTACCCCCATCATTACCCCAATCTTGACCCTGGTCCTTACCCCTGACCTTACCCCCATCCTCCCAGGGGCCCTACAGGAAAGCTGAGGGGGACTCTTGATCAGGGAGGGGAGCGATGGGATGAGGGGGAAGGGTTTGACGCTGAAAGAGGGGAGATTGGGATGAAATGTGGGGAAGAATTTGTTTGGTGTGAGGGTGGTGAGAGCCTGGCCCAGGTTGGCCAGAGAAGCTGTGGCTGCCCCATCCCTGGAGGGGTTCAAGGGCAGGTTGGAGGGGGCTTGGAGCAACCTGGGCTGGTGGGAGGTGTCCCTGCCCAGGGCAGGGGGGTGGCACTGCGGGGGCTTTGAGGTCCCTTCTAAACCAAACTGTTCTATGATTCTATGATCCTTATCCCCTCTGGCTGCCCTTCCAGTGATGCTGAGCCTGGCGAGCGAGTTGGCCTCTGAACACATCACCATCAGCGGGGGGGGCCTCCCCGGCAGGTACCGTGCTCTGCAGCTCCACTTCCACTGGGGCAGCCCCGCCAGGAACGGCTCCGAGCACACCCTTGATGGGCACCAGCTCCCCATGGAGGTAGGAGAGAACAAGCACCCACCGTGCTCTCTGGGTGGCCCAAGCCCTTGCTGTGGTGGGAAGGTGTGATCCTGGTGTGTGCCCAAGGTGCCACGCAGTGGGGTGACCGGGCTTGGTGACACCGTGCTCCCCGTCACCGCAGCCTTGTGCTGATGGTGGGGTGCAGACAGCCCATGCACAGCAGACAGCCCATGCACAGGACACCTGGGTGGTTAAAAAGCAGCTGAGAGGAGATTCCAGGTTTTTCTTTACCATCCATGGGGCCAAGCTGCCTCATCGGGGCACTCGGTGGGGTCTGGAGGGCGCCGTGCCCCACTGGGGACCCTGCGCTGAGTCAGTGAGCAAGAGCATGTGGGAGTGTGCTGTGCCAAGCACGGCGGGATCCTGCTGGGTGAAGGAGGCTCTGTGCCTCTAAAATATTAATTATCTGCCAGAGGAGAGAGCAAAATTTATGTATTGCGGCTGGTGGGTGCCCCGGGACTGCTGGCCCCTTTTCCCCACCCCCTTCAAAGGATGCTCCCTTCATCGGGGTGCTTTGATCCTCCCAGCAGCCGCCCCACGGCAGCACCCATTGACCAGGAGGGCTTTTCTGGGGGGTGGTTGGCTCAGTGTCCTGGCCAGGGAGGTCCGTGGGTGAGCACCCAGCCACTGGTGGGGTCGGCCGGGGGCGGTTGCCCACCCCTGGTCCCTCCACATTCCCCAGCTGCACATCGTCCACATCAACGTCAAGTACCGGACGCTGGCGGAAGCCAAGGGACATCCCAACGGGCTGGCCGTGCTCGGCTTCTTCTTCCAGGTGGGTCTGCGGGGGCTCCTGCTGCCCGCGGAGGGGGGACCCTTTAGGGCAGGGTGCCATGATGTGGCTGGGGGCTGTGCTCTGCCCCAGCCGCTTTCTCTCCCCCTCTGCAGGTCTCTGAAACCCCCAACACCAACTACAACACCATCGTGGCGGGGCTGAGGAACATCTCCCACGCCGGTGAGTGCCTTCTGGCCGGGGCAGGGGCAGAAAGAGGAGAGACCCCGGTGCGGGAGGGCAGGGGTGTGGGGGATGGAGTGGGGGGATCTGCTGGTCCATGGGGCCATCTGGCTGTGGGAAAAGTGATGGGGGTGGCCGTGCTGTCCCCGCAGTGTCCCCATCACGGGATGTGCTGAGTGCCCATGTCTCACCCCGCAGGGTACTCCGTGGATTTGGCCTCTACCTTCCGCCTGAGCACCCTGCTGCCCCACACCGGGCGCCTCGCCGGGTACTACCGCTACCAGGGGTCCCTCACCACCCCCGACTGCAGCGAGGTTGTCGTCTGGACCGTCTTCGAGGAGCCGGTGGAGATCGGACGGGAGCAGGTACCAGCACACACAGCCCCATGCTCCGACCCCCCCCCCCCGGGGACCCCTCTCCTTGCCCTTCCTGACCCCTAAGCAAGAGCACAGGGAAAGTCACCTCTGTAATAATGCTCCTGGCAACCTGGCAATTAATTAATTTTATGAGGGTTAAGTAATGGAGCTGTGGCCACCTGCCAGCAGGGAGAAATCCCGTCCAGCACTCTCCTGCCCAGCCCCAGGATTCAGAAAGCGAAATGGAAGCGAATGCACCGGAGCTTGGAAGAGGCTCTGAGGAGGTGGGAGGGAGGGCGGATGCGTG